GAGCAGCACGAACCTGGAGTCTACCATCAGCCACAACATGCTGCGACACCCCATGGCCCCTTGCTTTAAGGCGCCAGCAGAGACAGCAACACAACCAGGGACAGAATCAGCAACGCCACGGTTGTCCACTGGCCAAAGAGGTCAATGGATCGTCGAGCAAGAACCACCTGCACATGCTGGGATGGTCCGAGCTTCGCAACAAGCCTAGGCAAGTTTACTTCGTTTTGCGCAGCTGACTGTTGTTAGCTGTTAGCTGAAAAGAGAGCCACACTTCCGGCACTGAGGTTGCTCGTGTGATCGAAGATTGGATGGTCCCAGATCTAAGCTCCAGCACTTCTGCCACATTGTGACGCCCTCCCCGGCCCTCCCCAAGATCCAACTGACAGTCGCCGTAACTCTCCAGCAAGCAACGTAGATTCCAGCCTCTTCTGTGGAGTTGTCTGGGATGCACATGCCCGTCTGACAGTCGAAAGACAGCGGGGCAGGCAGGTCCTCAAGGTGCTGCTGCTAAGAGTACAGCGATCTGCCGTGCAAGGAGTCTGAGACCGAAGCATCTAGTACAGCGCGACAGTTTCCTGTATCCTGCCAAGCCCAAGCGGAATGCTCAACTGTTCAAGGATGCGCCGGGGTAACGGGAAGCAGTGGGCTGAACTAGGAATCCACTCCTTTACAGCAACATCAGCTTTTGCAACCGAGCCCCACCTCACAACCGATCAGCACACCGCGGCGGATGCCATCGACGATGATCCTCTCCGGCAATCGCAGTTCATCTTGACAAGGCACTTATCGAAGGCTCTGCTGAAGCTGCATGATCAAAGGCTGCAGCGAGAATGCAACTCCTTGTAAAGGAGGAAAGCCAGGAATCATCCGGATAGGTACACCTGTGGCAAAACCGTGCATTCACACTCACGCTTTACTTGTTGCTCGTGCCTAGCAAGCCTTCCGGACCCCTCAAATTTGTCGAGACATCTCTCGTGCTTGATCGTACTGCCCTCATACGCTCTCCCAGGTCCTCAGACCATACAAACCGAGTTGTCCCAGCCCCCACTTGCTACAACCGGAAAGTCTCCGCCGATACTGTACGCATTTTTACTACGTGCTATTCGACTCTGTGTTCCCAATCTGTAGGGCCACTGCTCACACTTCTCGCAGCGAGCACAAGGGCTTGCCACATTCCGATCCGTGCAGGCCTTGGAGCAAGGTCGCAACTGACTGTGCAACCAGACGTCTAGATTCACGCTGAGCTCCACACTCCACTCTGCTCGCCCGTGATCGGGTCGATGTCGTCGAGCAGGGAATCACACTCTGTGCACCCGCACCTCATGGCTAGACGTTCCGGCCACCAAAGCTGGCACGTGCTTCAAAACTGAGGGGTCGGCTGCATAAGGATAGGCTGGCGGTGGCTGCACATTGTATTGATGATGTCCTCTGCAGATCTCTCCAGCAAGGGCTGAATTTTCGAATGACTGTAAGCCTGCACCGCTCACCTACCTCTTCAATAAGCTCGAGAACTTGGAAGAAACACTTCACGCATCTTCCGCATGCGGTCAAGAAGCCAAGCGCGCGATTCCCTGCGAGGGAAAGTACTGCGCAAAGAATTGCGGACTCGACCAACCGCCAGACCTCGCACAGGGGGAGGCACCGAAAGAGACAGCGCGGAGCGAATGAAAGCACCTCTCCTCTGCCCAGAGGGAGGCACCGAAGGCGAAGGCTGAGGCCGGTGCCAAAAGAGGCGGTACGTGGAGGAGCGCTCCAGCTCTTCCGAGAATTTGCAGGAGAACTGCCTCGGCGTTGTTTCTTTGCGCTTTGACCTGAGCCGTTTTCTGCCTGGGCATAAGCTTGCCACTTGTCATGCAGGCCATCCAAAAGCATGGACCTGCCCATATGTCGGTAACAAGGGCTGATGGACAAACACAGCCCTCGATTCCCCGGTGCTGCCATCACACTAGTGCCTGCCTCATGCATTTGCCACCCTCTCCGCAACCTTCGTCTGTCTCCTGAAGCAGTGTGTTGCCGTCCAGTGAAGTTCCACGCTGGCATGCGAGGGGCTGACACAGTTGACGCATTGGAAACCACCGGTCCCTGCGGGACAGGGGCACTGCCTTAGCAGATCCCCAGCCCCCGAGGCCTAGATAGCTGTTGTGGTGTTACTGCGCAGTACCGCAAAATGCTAGATCTGCCATTGCATCTTTGGGGATCCGGCTCGCACTCGCACTTCAAGCGCTCAGCAGAGTCGTCGCCAGGTGCCAAGGGGCACCAGAATGACCCGGAGCCTTGGGAGCAAGACGCATTCGTCTGGGAGCTTTCGGTGCCTTCTCATGGAGGGCTCCCGGCCAAGGTCACCTCTGTAAGCACAGCTATCAGTGGCGCAGTACTGCGTCCCACTGTCGGACCATGTCCAGTCCTTAAACTTCGTACTCTCGTCTCGGCAAAAGCTTCACTGCAACGAACTTGGCATTGCCGTGTGCGGCTGGAAGGCGGCACTGACACCGTCGGGTGGGTGTATCTCTCTACCTCAGAAAGAGACTCATGAAACCCACAATCTATCTGCAATTGCCTCTGTCTTCCCTCGTACCCTCCCTCCCCCTCTGTCCGTCCCGAACACATCAGCAACCCTTACGCCTGATAGTTTTTGAAGACTTGATCGTTGGAGCAAGTGCAGCAATGACCGGACCGAAGTGCCGTGCCCAACAAGTGCAGTGACTGCACAGCCAGAAAGGAAGTCCATGCACCCGAACGTCTGCTGCCCCAGGCCGGAGGCTACTGCCATATTATGCGGATTCTGCGAGTCGGTGGCCAAGACCGAAAAGAACGCCCAAGGCAGCAGGACAGTCCATACTCCGGATTGGCAGATCCTGTAAATGTGCCTGCACGGCATGAGCTGGCGCTGCTTCCAAAAATCGGCTCGCACCACTGAAAGCATTGAGGCATGACCAGCCTCTTACAAACAGTTTGCATTGCATGGACGCGCAAAGGGCGACAGGATGAGAGCAGTTGTGCTTGGGCGCGTCCATACCACTTGCCACTGGGTATCGACTTGAAGTCTGAACCGGGGAAGATTTGCTGGAAACGAGCCGAGCCTCCATGTGTTAACAAATTGAAAGCGTGTCGCAGGTGCACAAAGAAAAAACTTTGACCTGGCGCAGGAACTGGTCCAGTCACGTCGGACACTGCTGCGCAAATAACACGGCAAAGGACCCTTCCGAAGGAAGAAAGGAAAGTGGGAACTAGAGCGACTCTCTTGCTTCCTCTTGCTTGGCCTCTCTCTCTCTCTCTCGCTTCCTTCCTCTCGTTCTCTCATTGCGGGCCTTGCGTTGCCGGTCTCACTGAACCCGGTACTGTTCCAGCCTGGAGCTGTGAGCTTTGCGCACAATCGATGCACGGTCTATGCACCTGCACTTGCTCTTCTACGCCGAGTGCAGCCGAGGCGCCCCACAGCTGCCATCCTGCGCACAAGGGGACCCATGTCCGTTTCCCACAGCCAGATGCTCTAAGACTCTAAGACTCTGTGGTCCACATCTCTAGCTCTGAGCCGCTGGCCAGGCTCATGCGCACATTTGCATCCGAAAAGAGAGGATCAGAGGCATTGAGCACGATGATCTCCAGCTCGGAGCTGTTGAAGCCGGATGTGAGCCTGACAGGCAACTGAAACTGAACATCATACCTGGGATGGCGCGGGTTTGCGTGGGGCAGATGGGCCCGATTTGTGTGACAGGCAACAAAAGCTGATGACATGCCACCCATGCCACACAGCTATCACTGCACAATCATCCCAAACCCTCATGCTACTCCTGAAGCGTCTCACGAACACACAGCCTGTCGTCTGGGCCCAGCAGAGCAGCCACGGCCAAAGAATGCCCAAAAATGCCAAAAAAACATAAGCTGCAGTAGAGTTATCAACAGCAGCAGCTGTTGAAGAAGCACACTCGATTCATAGAGTGAACACCTGCCTCAAGCTCAACTGCAGGAAAGCTATCAGCGCTGTTCTCCTGCTACCTCAACTCGCTGCGATAGCATGTTCAGCACATGAGATGGTATAACAAACTGCATGACCGGCTCCCTCGGCCCCAGGCAAGTCATTCCGGCCAAGAGAACCGATCGGGAATCAGTCTCACCCTGATGAGTTCACCCGAGGTTGCATGATGCTGCCATGCATGCTTTGGGTGACTGACATTATGTTGAGATTCAGGTGTCAGTGTCGCAGGGCGGAGGGGGGGCGGGGGGCATACTTCCGCCCCATGTGAGGCTTGTGCCCGCCCAGATCAGACTGCTCATGAGTACCAGCATCATCTTAACATATCTGAAGCTGAGCCAATCACAGCTGCAGGTCGCACCTGGTGACTTGTCTACCTGTAGCATCTTCTATGCAGTTCGGCACAAGGTGGCAAAGCCGGTCAACATCGGTTTTGATCATCGCTGCGCGTGTTCAAGAAAGGTCCGCATCAGCGCCTCTCCTTCGATCACAAAGAGCATGGACAAAGTTCCCCGGTCCCCTCCTCTCTCACCCTTCCCATTTCCCATCCCTTCCCTCCCGATCCTCCACATAGACCATTTGGAAGCAACCCGGTCGTTCGAGGAAGGCCGGTGAACATGCCCCTTCGAGCAGTTGACACTAGGTCCAATAGGTCCAACTTCTACAAGTACTGGAGTACTACTGGGTTCTTGTTAAGGGATTTAATTTAAGTTACCATAATAGGGATCTATAGTAAATAATATGGTTTCCTTATTATGATAACTTAAATTAAATCCCTTAACAAAAACCCAAACTGGTATCTCTCTGTGCTCTCTCTTGGCCTCGGGGCGTTGTCAAGGCCACGGCTTCCAGTCTGGGTTCCGCCTTTCCTTTCGAAATCCACCCAACGTCCCCTCCTCTTTTTGCGTCGGGAGCCTCGGAGTTCTCCTGCGGCCAAAGACGGCACGTAGCTGCTCTTGGAGCTGTCTTGCGTCTCTTTTCTTCAACTCCGCCGAGGGCTGGAAGTGTGAAACGAAGTGAAACAGCACTAGAGCCCCTGCCAGTAGTGATAGTCCAAACAAGGCAAAGGCTCTCCACGAACCAGAGACAGAGCCTTGCATCGTGTGGCTTAAGAATCACACTGGGTTGTCTGTGCATGCCTCTGCATGTCTGTGATAATGCCGCAGCTGAGAAACAGAGCGCAGCAGCATCGCCAATTTTGGCAAAAACACCACAACCTGCCACCAGAACGAAGTCAGCAGTGGGTTCCGTCACTTGGGCTTTGCACAGAAGCGAAAACGCGTGCTGGGGCGCGTTGTCACCGTGATTGTATGCATCTTCCTCCGTCATGTCGCCGATCTTTGACAGCCGTGCCTTCGGCAGACGCAGGACTAGAAAGATTTGTAGAACCAGGCCAGTACGCTGGCCTCTTCCACTGTTCCTGCAAGGTCATGAGGGCGGGTGCAGATGTGATGCATACCAACCTCAGTTTGGAACGTGGTCAAAGGTGTCTTCCACAAGATACGCTGAGTCCCAGGCCAGCCGAGCCAATCCTCCAAAAATCTGACTGCCATCCGCGTTCCAGATCTCCGAGCCTCTAGATCTGGAGAACTTCTCCAAGAAAACCAGGTTCAAAGAGTTGCTGAGTCCCTTGCAGTGCAGCCACATTGGTGAGCTTCGGCTCCTGCAGACTCTTCCGGCAACGTCCCTCTTCGGAGGCCCAGAGCCGGAGCCTGAGCTCGATGACGGCAGCGTTTGGGCGCATGGCCCAAAGCCAGGCCATCCCGGCGCCGTGCGCCGCCACCAGGAGATCCTCAGATCAAGGGATCATGGGAGATCTTTTTCCCCAAGCCAACTCAATCAAGCGATTGTTCTTTCAAAGGCAGAGGTGCTGCTCCGATGAACATGCGAAACTGGTCCACCCACGGGACACCCGAAAGATGCTTGATGACCTTGAGCTGCAGCTCCGAGAAGTTGCTTCGAAGAAACTCTTCGACCTCTGAAAGCACAGGCTCCTACCTTTCCTGCCTTCCTCCCACTGCCTGCCCAGAGCCTCCTCGAAGTTCTCGATTTGCCGGCCATCCGCAGCCGGCCTGCAAGAGAATCCCACTTGCGGCGCGTGCCCTTGCGCTTTACACCGCAGAAGCTCCCCAGCCTCTGTAGCAGAGCAAGCTGAAGAGGCTCTTTGCTTTGGCCCGGGGAGCCTCGCTCAGGAACGAGCTCAGAGCGGTCCGGAAGGGAGTGGAGAAGGAATCGCCGAAGGGCGGAAACTTGGTGGCAGCTCATCTCCGGAGTTCGGAGGAAGAACCGCAAGGATGGAAGCCCCAAGATGACGTTGCCGTAGCTTTCCCCCTCAAAGCTCTGCAATGGCCGAGGCGGCAGCTCCGAGAGCAATTGCAGGACTCCCGCATGCACACCGTTCGGGGGCGCGAAGTGCTCAGAGACGCTCCGTGTTCCCCCCCCGCTGTGTCTCGGCCACGTCGGCTGCAGGAAGGACCATTCTCCAGGCTCTGTGTGGCCACGGAAGGTGGCGTCGACGACACGACCCCGAGCAGTCGAGGTGGCCCAGTCGATCTCCTCGTGAGGAAAGACCAGAGCGACCTCCAAGTGCGAAGCGTCGATCTGCTTCTTGAGCTTGTAGAACCAGAGGGCAGGCAGCCACCAATGCAAATGATGCCACGGATTGGCTTCCCCTGCCATGGTTACGGGAATGATCGCCAGAACACGCTTCGTGTCGGTCGCCCGTTGGTCCTTCAAGATCTCCGCCTGCAGCCAGAAACGCCCGAGCTCTGTGCAAAGCGGTCCGTACTTGAAGCGACCGAGCTTTGCAACACCAATGGTGGAAGAGCCGACTTCGTGCGGGCCACATGTGGACGTGCTCGAACTTGGGGCCTGCGCTGCCGGAGCCCGATTCAGGAAGGCGTTCCATGCAAAGCGCTTCAACAGCATCGGCTGGAGCTGAACCGTTCGGACCTGGCCCCTCCCAACCTCCCAAATGAGCCTAGCATGATGCAGGACTGCATCGCGCGCGGTGAAATGCCAGTACTGGGCATCAAGACACTCAGCAGCAAAGGTTGCGAGCTGGAAGATGCCGGCACTCAGCATGAACGTCTTGCGCAAATCTTGCTCCAGTATGCAGGAATGTAGCAAGATGATTAGACTCGCAAGGTTACCGGGCACACACTGCGAGGAAGATGCCATTAGCTGGATTGCTCGCGGATGCACCATGTCATCTTCATTCTTGTCACAACGTTGAAGGCTGATGGCAAGGTGTTGCCACTCACTGCCGTTCAAAAACCTCTGAATAAAATGTCTCTGCCCCACGCCCAGCTCCTCAAACTGGGCCTGCGAACGCGCGAAGAACTCGCCGGCTTCTACACAGCGGCAGAAGTCTCTCTGTCCCCAGGCGGCCGAGTAGATGTCTTGAAACCTCAACCAAAGCCCAGGCTCCCGACTCAACAGCACGGAGATCACGGCAGAACTGAGCCTCTTCCGGAGTCCGAAAAGAACCACGAAGTAAACCAGAAAAGCTTGATAGGCTGCGCTCATGTCCGGAAGTTGTCCCGGAAACGCTCGGCTGACGTTCCTCAGATAATCCAGCTCTTTCCGTGTCCTTCTCAACCACTCAGCTGCCATCGCAGCCCCACCGCGAGTCTTTGCTTCGCCCTGGCTTCGAAAGAGGACGCGAAGCCGATGAAAAAGTTCTGAGGGTAGGCCCTCTAGCCCCGGCAAGCCCAGGTGACCATAATTCGAACTGCCTCAGTTGGGCTCTTCAGAGACACACCTCTGACAGTTTGATGGAGCATGCCAAGCATTAGTTACCTTAGTCTGTCCGTCACTCAGAACTGTGGTCATCTTCTAAAGGAGCCCCAGGTGCGATATGCACAGCATTTCTCCTCAAGAGAGCAAGCAATGGGGCCCCCATAACAGCAGCGGGAGCGCACTTTGTCTTCCTTCCAGCACCCGCCTTGAGAGTCGGGCTCCTGTAGCTCCTGCCCTGCAGCCAGGACGAGCAGGGCGGCCCACAGCATGGCGGAGAGTCTTCATTCTGCTATGGTCCGGCCCTGTGCCCCCCCCCCACAGGACAGGGCGTCAGGAAATCGTCTTCACATACCTGATCTGAACGGCTGCGTAGAGGTGCGAAGCTCCATGCCGGCATAGAGCTTTTGGTCTAATTACACCGCATTATCCCACCCGCAGCAGAAGGCTGAAACAGCTGGCAAGAAATCTGCAGAGCTTATTGGGTTCCAGCCCCTGAGGCTCACATGCTCCTGGATCAGCGCAATGAAGCGGTCCAGGTTCGCACTGAGCAAAAAGCCTCCCCGGCCCATGCCGCTGCCAGCTGCCATCTCCTGTTTAAGACTTCAAGCTTTCGAGGTCTCAGCCGCGATTCACAAGCGCCTGGTAGCACCGCAGGATTTTTTCTTCGGTGCTGACCTCTCCAAACATGCGAAAGCTGTCATTGCGAATCCCCTTCATCCAGGAGCTGAATCATCGAAACCGCCTCTAGCACTGTATGTGTGCGTGTGCGTAGCAATTCTACCTCCCGAAACGTAATCGGATCCCCGACAAGTACTGTAACGCCGCCCGGGCCTTACAAGCTCTCCTGGAACCACCAAAAGCTTCTACTCTCGGGCCCGAAGCTAGTGCCTGGAGCCTCCGAATCTTTGCTTGCCCACCTTGCGGTGCCTGACAGAAGACTCTGACGCACAAGCTCCCCATGTTAGAGGCTCGATTGAGAATCTTGGGCGGCCTTGAGAGCTTTGGGCAAGGTCTCCCTGTAGCATGAGAATGCTCCAGCCTGCGAGAGCACTTCAGGGGCACTGACCGTAAGGACTGTCGACGGCGATTCAGAGCTACTCACCTGGGACTCGCTCAACATCGCTTCCCCACGTCGCCGAGCACGTTCCCAAACATCTTTGTTGAACCTGCCCATTCAAGTCTAGGACTTCTCGGTGCCGGACTCCCCCAAACTCTGCCGGCCGCACATGGAAAAATCGATGCCAACATCTCCTCCGACTGCTACATCGGCGTGCCGAAAGAAGAGAGGCTGCAGGACTTGCAAAAGACGGGCTACCAACGTCCTTCGCATACTTTGGGAGCGCTTGAAGGCTCAAAACCTCTTGAAGCCGTCACTCCCTTCCTTCCCCGCACGCAGTCAAAGAGACACCTCCTGACCGCCAGGCCTTCCTCCAACTGGTCACATACTTCTGGCCTTCGTTTGGCAACCTGCACGGGAGAGTTGAGAGACACCGCCTGTTCTTTCTACTGCCCTAGACTTCTTCGGAGCCTTGGGTTTGTCAGCATGTCTCAGCCTTAGGGCCTGAGGGTCTTAGTTCGGCCAGGATTCCACCCGGACCTGGACTACCATGGATTTTGCAAGAGCCGCTAATTCCGATCAACAGGAGGGTTTCGCATAAGAGCTCTTACCTGCGGGGCACCATCTTTGCCGATTTCAGCCTGAGGCATAAAAAGCTTCCTTCTCCAACTATATTGCCTTGCGGGGAGGTCTTGCCTGTGCAGCTTGAAAAGCTTTTGCTGCAGCGCTTCGGCCTTTTGGCACCTGGTCCGTCTGCAGCAGGTTCCTTGCAGCAAGGCCGCAATGCACAAAAGCATGGAGTCGCAGGCCGCCACAGGGCTTTGGAACCGAGGCCCCGGCACATCGAACGCAGCGTCTTTGGCTGGCCTTCTCATCTCTCACGCGGAATGACCCGAGGCAGGCAAGATGCCGAGGCCAGGACTCAGGATCCTCATCCGCAGGGACGGAATGGACCAGAGTCAGAGGATCGCGATCGAGTTGTGAGGCGCTCTCACAACTTCTCACCGATGGGCGTCTCTCCCTCTCTCCCGCTCCCGCTCCCGCCACGTGGACTGCGATGGCTTTGCTTGCGGCCAGCGCGTCCAAGAGAGCGGCCTCCGCCTCCGCCGCCTCTGCTTCAGGGGCCGTCTCGGCCTCTGCCTCCGCCGTTTCGGCTCCTTGTCCTTTCAGGGCCTGCAAGGCCTGCAGACCCTTGCGACTTGCAGAGATCTGCCGATCCCATGCCTCTAAGACCAACTCCAAGGAAGAGAGCACACTCTGCAAACTCTCTAGCCTTTCTGCATCTTTCTGCATCGCGGGCCATGCGAGGCACGCGGAATTGTGGGAGCCCCGTCTCTGTGCTCTTGTCATAGCTTGTCAAACCGAGTTATACCATTGCAGGACGTGTTTTCGTCACTGTGTTTTCGATTGTTGCAGGAGCGATCTCGGCTGCGAAACGTTAAGCTGGCAAGATGCCAAAAGCAATGGGGTCGACAGGAGCAAGAGCTGACTGGGTGTTTCCTTTCCTCGGACAGCCAAAGCCCCTTGAGGGCTGGTCAGATCGTCCTCACCGTCCGGCTACAGGACTTACTCAGATTAAGCCCTGTAGTCGACGACTACCCGCAATTCTGCACCGAGCCTTAGGGGCTCAAAGGCCGTCTGGCTTCAGGCCAGCTCGTGCCAACTCGGAGTCTACCTCGGCAGCGATGGCAATCCCACGCGCCCATGCGCTTTGCATTACAACGAGGCCCCTGGCTGCAGCTTCGATGGCTGTGCGCCTGAACAACATCCGCATAGATTGAAGAGCCGGAACGGAGCATAAACATAAGACCCCCATGTAAGGCCAGGGACAAAGACGCCAAGGACCGGTGGCTGCTCTTCGACCTGTCAAATCAGATCGCTTGTCTGGCTTCGCTCACCTTGCTCCCAACAGGACCCGTCTTGCCTCTGGGAAGGTGTCCTCGCCTGGCAGGGCGAACGCAGAATACGCAGACCTTCGTGCTGCTTATGGCCTGATGTTTGCCAGCCTCGCTGGCTGCGCTGTGGGCACGAGAGGGTGCAGCGCCTTCAGATTCGCACGGGAGCACGTCGTCGGGCTCGGCTGAGACTGAGGCAAGTTCTCACGCCCGAGACCGGGCGACTCGCAACCTGTCCAAAGCAGGGACCAAGCGGAGACCTCAAGTTTCCTCCCAAAGGCCGCGGCCTCGGCGACATCCTGGGCCACGCAACACGGATCTCATCACTCGGACCGTTCTCCAGCGCACCAAGGCTGCGACAGCTCCATCCGCCACAACCTGCTGAACTTCCACACAGCTTCGCTGACACTTCGTGGCTCTTGGCCCATCTTCGCGCCGCACCAGCCGCCCGGTATGACGGAATTTGTCCCATGACCTCGAAAGCAGGTGGTGACGACGGTGCTAGCTAGTCCCAAAACTGAGATGTCTGCTGGTAGCCAGCAATCTCTGGAATGGCCACTGCCCGCTGGGTGCTGATTGCAGAGACCTGCATGAGTACATCTGCATCCGTTGCTTTGTGCTGAATATCCTTAGCTTGGGGACTTGTGTCTGACTCTTCCTCTGCTAACTGTTGCTATGTCCTCGCCTGCTGAACCACAGGACCTTGTCAATTCTGACCCGTTGATTGCCTTGTCGTTGTTGTAGGGGTCGTAGACGCCTGCGTCACCAGGCTTTGGAATCGCCCCTGCCAGGAAAGCATTTCTCGACAGATTATGGATCAGGGACCAAACTAGGCCCGCTCGACCAGATCCAAACCGGCCCAGATAGTAGGATCTGCACGCAGCATATGAATCATTGACAACAGCCGGCAAGCTTCGGCAGGAACACATGGGAAAAGGCATCTGTAACTCCAGATTTCTAGCATCTGAGCGCCTACGACAGCGATTCTCCTTGATGATCGCATCCTGGCTGTCATATCGTCAGGCATGTCTCGCTCAGGGCTGGTTGGAGCCACCCGCCAGACCAGGGTCGATGTGACCTCTGCACATCTCGCGTCTCACTGTCTCAGGACTCGGTGTCTCGCCATGTCAAGGCCAAATTCCGCTAAGCCAAGACGAGCGACTCCCGACATGGCGAGGCCCGGCTGCCGACGGAGATGTGGCTGTTGGTGGCTTCGGGTTCTACTGGGGTCGCTGCCAGCAGACTGCTCGATCCAGTAGTGGATAGTTGCTAAGCCGCTGCCCATAGTTTCCATTGAGCTTTTCAAACACTCTTGGCGAATCGCGGCTAGGCGTAGCACCCCATGCCGAAGGCGAGTATGAACAGGCACAAATCCAGCATTTGCCTTTTTGTTGGACTGGCGCTCTGATCAGCGGCTAGGCCGGGATCCAGAGTCATAATAGGGACTCTTGCAGGCTGACTGCGACCAGATGTCCTTCTCTAATGCTATGTTCCGGATTGCTGCAAGCGTCTCCTGTCATTAACATGCGGCGCAGCAAACTTTGGCTAGCATTTCTCAGGACTGCCTGCAACTCCTGCGACTAAACCTGCACATGCGAGAGACATGCTGCAAGCGAGAACATGAAGAGGCTGACGCGGTGACCCGCTGCCTCAGCTAGGAGTTTCCGAGCTCCGGCGACTTGGAGGCCCGAGGCCTCTGCTCCGCGGGGCTCCGCCGGGCCAGGGGACTCAAAATTTATCCTGTCGCGTGCCTCGGCCGATGACACTGCCTTCTCGATAGCTTCCTTCTTGGCCCTGAGAACCAGTGCAACGGCGCTTGAACGATGCGGCCGCGGACAGCATGGGTGAGGCCTCACGGCCGTAAGAATCGACCGCTTCAGATCATCGCCACCTTCGCAAAACGGATTCGGCTCAGCTTCAACGGATTGCACCAGAGATGTTCAAGACTTGAAGCGCTATGGCCGAGGCTTTTGAGCATGGCGAGGAGCAAGAAGGAGCAACGGCTGGTGCTAGCCTTGACCAACTGGGACCTTGAGGCTCGGCAATCGCTGATTCGTACTCGCGTTCCTCCGCTCAAGTCTCCTGCTGCAGACATCGTTCCCACAGAGGTTGCGCCAGCCTCTTCCCCTCAGCACCGACACCGCTCAAACATCGCATGTCCAACATCACACTCACGGCACCAGCCTTGTCCGGATCCAGCTTCATCAAGACAAGAAAGGTGTTGACCACGGTGCCATCGTTCATCGAGCCCAGGTCCTCACCAGCTGCCTAGCGAGTCGAGGGCAGGGGCCCCAAGTTCCCCAGTCTGTGCTGGCATGCTCCGCCTCCTTCTGAGCGGATGCCAGAAGGGCCTCCACGAGCTTCTGATCCCAATCGGCCGCTAGATAAGCGGCGAGGAGGTCCTCGAGGTCCCACTTGCGCCACGCCCGTTCTAAAGCCGCTGCTTCGCCCTTTGCCGCACCTTCGCATACCTGTCACCCGCGGCCTTCAGTGGCGCCTTGAGCAAAGCGCTGCAGATGGCCGGCCTGAGCAATGCCGAGACATGTCTCTGGGCGTCTCCAAGCAAAGCCCTACAAAGGCACCCCAAGGGCACGGCTTCAGATGCCGCAGCAGCTCCTGGCGCCGGGTCTCGGCGGCCTTTCGCTTTCGCAGCCACGTGTGGTCCGGGACTGCGCATACTCTGCGCCTTCAACGACGTGGGTGAAGGTAGGGCGGCGCACTGGCACCTAGCGTAGGAATCCTTTCGCCCTCATGTGCATCACACAATCCCAGCCCAGCATGCACCCAGCGCTTCTGAGCTTGGTTGCTGGCTCGTAGGGGGAGAAAAGGTGCTTGTCATTCGGCCTCGCTCTCATCGCAGCCAAGCTTGACAATGCGATGTGGCAGCTACACTGAACAGTCGTAGAATTAACGTTTGTGACTCGATACGTGCGATGCCTAATCATGCCTATATCGCCAGCTTCATCCTGGTTTCAGACCCCTACATCGGCAGCCTTGCTGCATCCGTGAGCATATGTATAAACCCCTAGCTGGTACATCACGATGAGCATAGGCACTAGAGAGGCCAGAGAGGCACTGGGCTACTTCACCAGTCTTCTTCTCAGGCTTTGCACGTGCAGCCGGTTTCTTCGAATGCACGCAGCTCAGAAGCGTAAAAGCGGGCTCGCTTCGCTCCCCCGCTGCAAGGCTTGAATGCTGCATTCCTCCGGGTTCTTCATGGCGGCGACAGTAACATGCCTAGATATGCCAAGGTGCTGAAGGATCCAGGCCAAGACTTTGTGAGCGTACTTGTCAAAGCAAAGGTCGGCCATGTCCTGAGGACGAAGACGCGCCCCGAAAGTAGAGCTGCGAGCTATGGAAGCAAAAAGTGTCCTTGATCCACTCAGCTATCATCGTCTTCGAGAGCATCACCGTGTCATCCACGGTTGTGGCAAGGCGAATCATGACCTGAAAAGAGCACAGTGCCGCTTGCATTGTGAGGGTGAACGAGCGCATGAGCACCGGACAACATAATCCACAGAATTCATTGCCAAGGGGGCGAACTTGCCTTTCAAATCCTTGCAGAACGCCTCGCAGGCATGCACAGACGGGATTGGGGGAGAACGGGTGGACTGGCCTTTCTTTGCTTGGCATTCGCCACACCGAGCAGTCTCAACAAAGCCTGCCCAAGAATGAGCGCCCAAAGTGACATGGAGATAATACCAGGGCGGCACCTCTGCACCAGGCTTAGAGGAAAGTAGGTACGCAGCGCCGTCCTCCGAAGAGACGCACTATTCCTTTCAGACTCCCGCAGGAAGCTCTCGCTGACTAGGGAAGTGACCATGCACTGCTCCGCCAGCTGCGTCAACTGCGAATCGGAGGCGACCTCGCACACCGCCTGTCCATCTGGGAGAGAGGCCACGATGCTCGATTTTCCATCTCTCACTGACCTGAAAGAGCAGGTGCACAATGTCGTAGCCGAGAAGCTCCTGCTCAGAGCGATTTTGACGAACTTGCCACACCCATCCTCTGCCCGTCTGGGCGAAGCTGCGGTCTGCGACCAGACTAGAAATTCGGAAGTGTCCTTCTCGACAGCCTTCTCGACGGCTTCTTCGAGATGCTGTGCGATGTCTTTCCTGTGTTGCTCAGTGAGATCCTGGCAGAGGGTTGCAATGCAGCTGGCACGTCATCACACTGCAATCTTCACACTCTTCTCTCAGCAGATAGGAATCTTGAAGACCAGGTCGTGAGTGTCGAACTCTCTCCTATTTGCTGGAAGTAAGCTAGACTCCAATACCAAGCCAGAATTCACTATCAGACACACCAACACACCCACGGAAGCCAGAAGACGGTTGCCTACAAACTCAGGAAGCACAGAAGCTGTACCGTAGGAGTTCTAACAACACGACACTGATCCTCCATGGAACTGCTAACTCTGATGTCGCGATGTCACATGTACTAGACTTGCAATCTGAAGATGCTCCGCCACCAGTCGCCTCCGCATGGAGCAACTGCCGCAACGGCTTGCTGCTGGGCAGCTCGGGCCGCAGCAACGCGACTGCCTTCGCAGAAGCACTCGAAGGAAATTGGGGCTATGGAGACTGCACAAAAGAAAGAGCCACAGGCGCCTGTGGAATGGCTATGCTGTGAAGTATCCTCCGTTTGTCCGCGGCTCTGACCTCTGCGCCAAAACACGCGAAGGAGAAGTCAACAGTAAAGCCTTCCGAGGCTTCGGGCGGCCGTGGAGAAGTAAATGCCTTGAGAGAGGCGCAGATGGCCGAATGTGGGCAGTTCGCTCCCATCGACGGGAGAGACGCCTCAGGGCTGAGCCATTGATGACCTTACAGCCGAAGCGATGATAGAAGGTGGCATGCAGGTTCTTACCTCAGGTGGCGCAACAAGGCTACCACAAACAACTATGCACGCTCCTATGTGACACGGTCCTGCCGAGATGCCGGTGAATTGATCTAAGATCTCCCTCAGATTCTTCAGCTGGGCCTGCAGTTTGACAAGGGATTGCCGTGTCCATATGGCGAACGTCCTGGCCTTTCTCTCCTCTTCGGTAGGCTTCCTTGATGTAGAGGTCTTGGAGGAGTAAAGCAGCAACTTTAGGACAACCTGCACGGCTGCAAGAGAAAGAGGGACCTCGTTCAGCGCTTCATTGGCTCAAGAGGACGGTCCGCTTGCGCCTGATGCCCGTAGCGGTCTTGTGCCATCTTCGGGAGGCTCTCTTTGAAGTGCGAGAGCAGCTCTCGCCTGACGGAGTTTCCTTTGCAGTGTGACCCTCCGCGAAGTCGGCACATGGAAGGTTCCGGTGTTTTTCTTGCCTCTGCGGCTTGCTGCCCCATTTCAGGCATGCCTGACAAGATTTGCAGGCGGGGTCAGCTGCCGTCCAGGGTTCCTGTGGCCTCGATGACACGGGCGCCAACGTTTGTAGAACAGTAGTCAGCCAGCTTGTTCGAAGTGCCTTGGAGCCGTAACCACACTGTTCACCGTATTGGCAAACATAACCTGAGGAATGGGCGTTTTCGAAGAATCTCAAGAATGTCGTTGACGATGACCTCAGCATTCCTCGTCCTGCCCAGTGCCAATGATCAAATTGCGCAGGGTGGGGCCGAGTGTGGCGTCCTCCCCGGATTGATCAACTCACCTCGAGGCACAATGCCAGCATGGGCTTTACATGGCTTTACGCTTGCACCCAGCCGACTGGGTGCTGCACCGTACAGCTTGGTGACCTCTAGCTTCCGCTTTTTCTTCGGCGTCAGCGCCTTCTTGCCCTGGATTCTTCGCAAGCACACCTACGCATGAGTTGCTTCACATCAGTTTCAACAAACGGGCCTGCTTCTGCTCTTCTTGCTGCTCGTCTACTGCTTTTCGCTTGACCCCTCTCTGCTCTGCCTGCCGTTGCAGACCCACGTCGCTAACTTCCCACTCTGGCAGAGAGCTTAGAGCCTTCACGTCTCGCTCTCCTTTCGTAGCCTTGGATTTGCCCTTACCGGATCCTTTTGCGCTCTTCACAGCATTCCTGCACAAGGAGGTCCGGAGCCAGGTAAGCGAAAGCGAAAGAAGCAGCCAGCGGCATCGCCTCTGCTTTCCTTTCTTCGACTGAGAGCCCTTGTTCTTCTGCTTGACCCTTGAGGACTTGCCTTGGGCAGGGCAAGGCTGGGCATGGATAGGCATGGCTGGGCGGCTGGACGCTTGCTCAGAAAATCCCTGCCTCTTCCCGTCGCGCCCTGGGTGCAGGCGAAAGGTGCGAACAGACCGTGCTGTCGGCCCTGTTGAGTGCGCTGCCTTGCTCCTTTTGCCATGTGGGCCACCCTTCTTGGCCATCCACACAGGTCAACCCAGGCTCGGATGTTGAAAAGCCGGCAAGGCACTGATGCTTTGCTGTGGCTTTACCGCATCGTAGAAGGAAGTCGAGCTGGCCGCGACAGGCATCTGTGTTTCGCTCTCTGCTTGCTTTTGGCTCTTGCAGCTTGCACCGCTTGAGCCAGGCGGTGTGGCCAGCTGTTGAAGGCCTCTTGGCAAGCTTCCCCGCGTCTGCATCTTCAGCTTCCGAAGCTACACGAGCGTTTCCAAGTCTGAGAAGCCGATAACCAGATCCGCTTGAAAATCGGTGCAGGGCTGCGTAGGGCGTTGGCAGAGGGAGACAATCGATTGCCGTGTCTGGAAGCATCCTCTTGGTGCCAAGATCTACATGCATTTCAAAGGCCTCCGGCACTTTGAGGCTATGGACTCATGGATTAGTATACCTTCAGACCTTGAGCTGCCATCTCCTGTTCAGCACACTGCACTGCGCAGAACACTGAACCTTGCAAGTTGGCATGGAGACTCTGGGCTACAGAGAGCAAGCAACGAGGCTGCATCCTCCTGCTTCTTCTTCAGCTCCTCGTTTGCCTGCCGAAGCTCAGTTCAGCAGCGAAGCGGATTTTGCTGCAACTTCTCTGAGCACGCGGCCTTCACCTGCTCCATTCCTTGCTCACCATAGACATCTGCCGCCATTCCGAACTTTTCCTGGAACCTCCGTATCGGACAGCATGTGGTCACTTCTCAAAGGGTCAATTCTGAGCCAGCCAATGCGAAACAAGGCGGGATCCGGACTTCGTGAGCGCAGAGTTGTCCAGGAGAACCTGGCCAGACCATACCACCTCCCACTGTACTTTACCGACCGAACTTTGGCACGTCCCTGCACTTGGCTGAGTCATGCAGCAAACAGCCAGAAGCTCCTTGCCCTTCTTGCCCTGCCACGCAGGGTGAGCACCACTCCAGATGTCGACCTCCGGGTGCAAGTTGTCAGCGACTGCACCTCTTCTCCGCTTGCACTGCCAGCCTTGAACTCCGACATCGTGCCGTTGAGCGTTGCGACCTGACGGGCTCTTCACGAGACGTCGCAGCTCGCACGGCTCGCACGGCTCGCACGGCTCGCAGCGCCTGCTCTCCCTTGTAATAGACCGGGCCTGATGGCTGCTTCTCAGGGAGACGACTTCCGATGTTTCAAGACATGCCGAGGCAATGCCCCAAGCCCAGAGGCAGTGGCTGGACTCGAAGCGCTTGGGTCGCTCGATGACCTCCTTCTTGCCATCACCTAAAGCACTACTCTGAAGCCGCGGGAAGAAGACTTTTCTGCTCTCTGAGCCAAGGGTTATAGGGTCTCGGCCCTTCTCTCCCTTCTTCTTCTTGCGCGCTTGAGCTTGCGCTGCTGCTGCCCTGACCATGAGCCCGGCAACAGGACAACTGACTTGCTGCTCTCGGCGCTGAGGGCAGCACTTGAAATCAATCTTCTTCATCACATTGCCCGCATGCCAGTCGCGACCTCAAATCTCCAGGACTACAGGCGTCCTGAGGCGAACCCAGGCGCAAGTTTGCCAAGGACGGCGCCACCCTCTCGAGCGACAAGGCTGCGAGCATCAGGTGTACTCCGAACTGCGCCAGTCACAAAGGTAACGGCACCTTCAATGCAGGCAGACGTTGCTGTGACGCAGTCTGAAGATCTGTCGGAAGCTTTCTATAGACTCTGCTGTCACAGCGCCTGAGACTGCACTGCTCGCGGCCCACAGGGCCGCAACCAGCAGGGTGGCAAGGAAGCCCTCAGAAGTTCGCGACACACCACATCGCACGGAATTGAAACAAATTCCGCAACACCGGAGCACAGCCAGCCTTGGCAAACTGGCCACGTTCTCTGCCGCGTGCCGCTGGAGCCATGTTCGGGAAACCTGCACTTCGACATTTCCAGATGAAGCTGAAAGAACGACGAAAACCCTATCACAAGCCACCTCGCAAAAGTACCGGCTGCGAGGGTATGTCGCAGGCCAGTTTCAAAGCCGAGACTGACGAATTGGAGATGGAATTCGAAGAAGCCTACTTCTTTAGCACAGCTGAACAGGCGGCATGACTTTGGAGCACAAGCGATCTGAGCAGATTTCTTTTGATCCAGCATTCGTTCAGAATCGGAGCAGAAGAACTTCTACTTGCTACATGTGGCTCGCTTCCAGTCGGAAGCGCCGTAAGCCACAAGCGCAGGCAACCTCGGTACGAGACTGCGAAGATCGGAAGATCGAAACGTCAGACGCACCTCGCACCATTCACGGTCGGACTCAACTTGAATCTCTACGTTCACTCAGTCAGAGTAACAGAAGACGTGCAGAGGCCTAGCACACGAGACGGAAAGGTGAGACCTTGTCAATCTTTTTTTACTCTGTTTCAGCATCACTGTGTTCTCTGTCTGCGACTTTTAAGAAACTTTCTAAGTTTCTCAGGGGTGACAAGGATTCATCGCTACCAGTATTCACCGGCACCACCAGACCTGAACAGCACAGGCTCTCTTGCGTCGAAGACGGCTATAGCGGCTATACACGATTTCCCCTAACCGGCCTGGGCCTGGGATGCCTGGGCCGTCGATCTCGCGGCGTGCTCGCAGCTCCGCACGCCGGGCCTCCACCATGGCATCCTCGCGAAGCGCTGGGCTTGCGGCTAGCGGCCAAATCAAACTTCTCAAGAGCCAAGCCCTTAGCCTTAGCCTGCAAAAGGAGGCCAAAACTCTTGAGGACCTCCCGAATCTTTCGGCCCCCTGCCTGCTCGAGAACGTCCTTCAGGTGCTGGCTCCGAAGGTCAACCACGGAATCCATAGAGAGACAGTTCAGCCAGGATCCGTACATGGTGTTTAGCAGCTCCGCCTCCGGGCACGATGGGCATCGCAAGAGCTCGTAGACTTTTGCCAAGCTCTTTGCATTCAGTAAGAAAGGTTCCAAGCCATGAAGGATGGCAAGGGCAGTTCGGAAGAGGACCTTCGAGCCCTCGTGGAGTAGACAATCCAGCACCCGGTGCAGGCTGGGATTCGGTACTGTGTTCACATACAAACACAGGAACCAGCCCATTGTGAAGGGCGAAAGGTCGACTTCATGCTCAACGAAGTGCGCGTGTAGAGTTGGGAGGTGGCGCATCACCAAAGAGTTGAGCACCATCATATCAACACGAACACCAATCATGTTCCGTGTGTAATAATTCTCCGGGAGCATGTCCTCCACAAGGCTGCAGAGAATCCAAAAGGCGCTCTCCTCGTCGCAGCACTCGAGAAGGGTCGCCACAATGAAGTTCATGGACTGGCAGTACCCTATTTGGGGGTTCTTTGCAGCAAAGGCCAGCAAAACCCGGCGCAAGGGTTCCAGCAGTGCTTCTACACAGCCTGTCCGCGGGACGTCGACATCGATGACACCCGAAGCTTCGTTTCGCAAGCTCAAGCCTTGCGATACGAAGGACGGATACAGCACGTCCGCTTCTTGGCCCAGCTCGGAAGCCACTTTGGTCTTCTTCCCGGTAGCACCGCTGCAGGTGGTCCAAACAGCACATCGCAACGCTTGCGGGACTCCAGCACGCACAGCCATGCTCACTCTCTCCCAGTCCCTATGCTGTGCCTGAGAGGGGCCAGCTCGGGCGAATCTGGACCAAAAGCTCTTCTTTGAAGGACGCCGCCACATCTCACATGCATGGGACATGGCACTGCGCTCATCTCGGAAGCCACTGGCACTGATGGATTCCCAAAGATCCTGCCAAAGCGCCTCCGGGTCCGATGTGGGAGATGCCGGTGGAGTCTCTAAGGACGCGCGCGCCGAGGCTGGGGAGGCCGGAGAGGGAGGGGCCTGGGGCGTTGCAGATTCGGCCGTGCCACCGGAATTCGACGGCTCGGTCTTCACTGTCAGCCACATGGTCAAAGCGGAGAGGCGCTCCCGGACACGCTGCCTGCGACATGTCAAAAAACAAGGAAAGGAGAAAAAGCGCCGGGCATTGACGTCCTGTTCTGCTGTTTTGTTCGCAGTTTCTGTCTCTCTTAGTTTGTTTTTCAAGAGAGACTGACCCCACCTGCGAGACCTCCTCCCAGCGGGCGCCTGAGCCTGGAGCGCCTGCTCACTCTCCAGGCCATCCCCCGGACCCCCAGGCCCAGGCCCAGGCCCAGGACGGCACCCCGCCATCTTGAAAAGGGGAAGAACATAAGCAGACCGTGAGACTGAGAGCTGCCTGTGTGTCTGTTTTGGAGATGTTGCAGTCTTCTGTCATGCTACTGGCGGGGTTTAAGCCTTACCTGGACGGGTTGTCGGCACAGTCACGGGCAAAGTCACCATGGCATGGAGGATAGAAGGGGTTGCAAACAGGTCTCCGGCTTGGCCGAGCGCGCAGCACAGCCAGCGGAGCCGCGCTGGTCAGAATGTTCACTCCCTGCCACGGTGCCTTCCAACTGAGCGACTCAAGCTTGCACCATCCTTAAAGAGTGTCCGTTGCTCAGGACAGGACCTCACGTGCCAGGGCCGGCGGCTCCGAGCATCCCGGGCTTGAGCAGCCAATGCTTCTCAGTGCTTTTCGGATGAGGCCATGATGTGCTCGAAATCTCAGCCAAAAAGCTATCTTGAAGCAGCACGGCCTCAATGAGGTTTTGCACCCTCTGCAACAGCAGAAGCTGAGTCTCGGGGAGAGCGCCCTCTTCACCCATGAGCCGGGAAAGAGCTGAATCCCAAACTCCTGGGTGATTCCTGGGGGCTGAAAACTGTTGGACTTCTAGTCTGGTCGGTCTTTGGGACCGAAGTGCCCGAAAATTGTGTGGAAAACCATGTCAATTCTACAGCGAAGCAGTGGAAAGGCCGTGGCCGCCCTGGCCGCCTAGTCTTACTGCATCTCACTGCATCTCACTGCCCTAGCTGCGGCGCTTGCGCAGCACGAAGAGGGATGGGGTGTCCATGACACGGAGGCCCGCATCCACAAACCTCTGCTTCCAGGTCCCAGCACCTGCAGACTTCAGATCTCTTCGGTTCTCTACACTTCGCTCCATCACGGACAGCTGCACTCGGCTCTGCTGGCATCGTCGGCTGCTGGGTTGGAGCAAAATTCACGCTGTCACCGAGACATCCCACCTTTAGTCGGCTTGCGGAAGATCTCGATGCCCAGGATTGAGAACACGGTCTCCTTGAAAGTTACCCTGCCAAAGCTGTGAGGAGAGGCGAATATGAATACACAGAAACGATGCTCCCTTGCGTCGGGGGCCTGATCTCTCTGTCATTGAGGACTTCCCGCTCTGCCTGGTCATGTTTCATCGCGCAGTATCGCTACTCAACATTTCCAGAGGGACACAGTAAGCACTGCACAATACGTGTTCGGGAGATGTTTGCATGCTGGCGGCGGAATGGACCGACATCAACCATTGAGAAGGTTCGGAAGGTTTGGATTGTTTGTCAGACGGCGAGGGTTCTTGTACGTAGTCACACCAGTGGGAGAAGTGTACGAGGTGTGCCAGTCGAGGTCTCTCTTGCGGGTATCCTCGCGGCATGGCGAGCTTTGCAACAGAGGGTTCGTCCCCGGCGCATGCAGAGAGCCAATTCCAAGATCATGCTGACCCCGGAGCTGACGCGTGCCTGCAAGGCAACCTTCACTGGTCCAATCTCCACTGCGTTCACGAACTTGACATCGTCAACGAAGGTTTGCCTACGAAGGTCTCCGGGCAAGCTCCGTGGTGAAGCGTATCAAGCATCGTCTGCTGAGGCACGTAACGTCGCCCAGGAAGGGGCCGACTTTGCCGTTAGAACTTCCCTCCGCCGTGCCTCGGAGCACTGAGTCACTAGTGGCTGCTACTGGGAGTTCCAGGTCTCATGACTTGCAGCCTGGAGACAGTACTGCAGATCCTCGGGAGATAGAAAGGTCACGGAGATGCGTGCAAAGCTGAAGCATGATGCAGCTCTCCGGTTCTCCGAGTTGCCGCCAAGCCTCCCAGACACCCTCGAGGGAAGCCTGAGCCGGATTGGATGGGCAAAGCGCCTCCAGATCCACAGCAGCAGCCTCCACCTGTTCCCGGGGCGCACAGACAAAGGCCACGCTTTGACCCAAGACGGACCAAGCTACAGACTCCGACAAACGACTCCAACGTTTCCCGACCCTTGCACAAGAACAGGGCCTTGTCCTTCACCGCGTCACTCGCACCGACGCCATTCTTCGGTGCCTGCACGCTGCAGCTCGGGCACAATATCTGCGCAAGTCGAAGCTGCATCGAAAGGATCCTCTCAGACACAGCAAAGGGAGGCCTCTGCACAGGCAGCCAGCAACGCCTTTTCAGCATCGAGCAAAGCACACGCTCTACACACTCTATTTTTGGACTAAGCTGTCAGGTGCAAACCGACTGAGAGGACCTTCTTCTTCTTCAGGGTCTGCTGCCGATCTGGTTGTCCAAGCGTTGCCAGCCAGTCTAGCGGAGCGAAGGAACCTGAAAGGCACGATTGATGCCACGCCATCCGCCTACGCCAATCTCTGCCAAGGCTCTCATGGCAGCATTGCGCTCGGCCAGCAGGTTTCCCAAGAGCTCTTGCTTGTCCAGGGTCGCGATACCTCCTGCTTTTGGGGGTCCGTGATGACATGAATCCCAAAACACTTTCCCAACCGGCCGGCCACCTGGCCTAGACCCCCATCGTTGCAGCCGCCCAGGTAGACGGAGGAACCCAAGTAGACGGAGGGCATGGAGGTGCGGCCGGTTCGCCGCCCAAGCTCAGCTCGAACGGCATACCCGTCCTGACTAGGGTCCACGGCGCGCGTTTCGAAGATCGGCAATCGTGCGGAAAACAATGATGACCGACGACTGTGACGACGGCAGGAGGAAGACGAAGAGGAGGCTGCAGAGCAATGGCAGCTGCATTTCCACAAAGACCACTCTTGACGCACTCACTAGTAGTGACGCACTCAATAGCATTTGTAGCAGTAGTCGTCGTCGTCGTCGTCGTCGTAGTCGTCGTCGTCGGAGTCGTAGTTGCAGTAGTAGTAGTAGTAGTAGTAGTAGTAGTAGTAGTAGTAGCAATAGTCGTCGTCGTCGTCGTGGTATGGTGGGGTGGGTGGGCAGGCGGGCAGGCGAGGGGTGAATCAGTGGGTGCTCATCATCCTCATCATCATGATCACGCTTGTCATCCTAGTGATATGAATGTGTGCTGAGTGGCGGCTTCCTGGTCACACTCGTAGACTTCAATCTCCTCGCCATAGTCTTCTTGAAGGATTTGTTTCGCCCGCAAGCAGAAGGGGCAGGTGGAAAATGAGAACATCATGATCCTGTCCGAGTCTGCGGCTGGAGCACCAAGGCTGGAGCACCGAGACGGAAGAATCAAGAAGATGAAGAAAGACTGCTGTCTATGCTGAGGAGCTTGTTTGAAGCCACTTTCTCATCGATGAGGCTTCCTATCCTCTCAGCGTCGTACTCCCCGGCGAGTCTGTCGGCTATGAACTGCTTGGCCTGCGCCAAGGGGCCCATCTGCGACACCGTCGAAATCTGCTGCGTGATCGAATCCGAATTGGCCCATTCCTCCAGAGTCTGAGAGTGCTTTGCTAAGCTTGTAGGAGCCTACACCCCAAACCTTGGATGACCTCGCAAGCCTCAACCCTAAGCTTGCTGCAGGGTGGGTGATGCATGAGGATGGCATCAGGCTGTCCCGCGGCTCACCGCCCCAGTTGCCATTCGCATCGCTTGGAGACTCCGAGGAGGAACGCACGCGGTTGAGCTCTGCCGCCTCGAGCGCCTGAAGGCCAGGCCCTGAAAAAAGCTAAGGCCGATACTAAAGCCGGCAAGGCTTATGCAGGGTCGTGTCAAAGCCCTTGGGCCTTCACGCCAGCAGTGATCACGTTGTCCAGAAGTGGTCGCTCCATCGTCTGCACCCGCGCATCTTCCTTGGCAGCCTGTCGTCTCACGGAGCCTCGGGGCGCAGCTCTCTCTGTTCCTTCCTATCCCGAGAAATGAGTCCGATGTCCTCCCTCAATCTCTCTCTCGCTGTGTTTGCTTGCTTGCTGGGCGTGTGGGAAGTTCAGCCCTGGACCCCCTGTGCACAGCAGTCCATGTCTGGTTGTGTGAAAGCCACCACTCGCAGTGTCTCTGTCTTCCTTCCTTCCTTCCTTCCTTCCTTCCTTCCTTCCGAAGGGTTCAGGTTAGCTGCGCTAACCCGCGCCGAGGCGCCCCCCTCCCTCTTTCGTTTATGGGGAAGAGTTCTTTCTCTTTCTCTTTGTCCCTCAGAAAACCCTAGCCGCTCCGGCCCGTCACTGAAGCACTTCTTACATGTTCAATGTGCAGTCTTCATTTCTCAGCCGAGCGGCGCTTGTTTCGGAAGGCTACCAGAAAAGCAGACACAGCTGGAGCACATAGCAATGCTCGACCAGCACCATGAGAACCGAGATGCTCTCGGTCCGGCGTATGGCTTTTCGCCAGTCCAACCGGCCCTGAAAGGCCGGGACCGCCTTTGCCAACACCTGGCAAGCGCTTTTGCCCGGCTTTGAGTCTCTCCCAAGCCCTCTTTGGCCTGCGGAGCTGGGAGCTGCGAAGGCGGCCAGCGACATGGCAACAGAGTGCTGCACTGATGCTGGAGCACACCCTCTGGAAGCACTGGCGTGCCTGTCGCCGCTAGAGGAGTAGAGATTGCAGCACAACAAAATCACCCTGGCCTACAAGCCTCCTCGAGCCAGCTAAACTGGGGCTGGATCCTCCAACACTTTCCCAGATGGCCTGCTCTCTCACAGACGCACCAAATGCATGACCTCTTTCTGCACATCAAGAGGAGCACTAGCTCATTGGTCAACATCGGCATCAGCGAAGGCTTCTGCGAGCTGCTTCAGCAAAGCCAGGGGCCTGCCCGAAAAGCACGCGACAGAAGTTACGGGCATGGCGGCATGGCGGCATGGGCAAGACTTTTGCAATCCCTGTCGCGGCAAAGAAGCTCTGGTCTGATCTGAAAGGGCACTGGCAGCCTTGGGCTTGCCAAGTTCCCTCTTGGAGCCGGCTTGTACTCCGAAAAACCAGCGACAGGCGCTACTAAACTCGTCTTGGACGGTCCATAAATCACAGCTAACTGACGAAGCCAAAGCGGAAAAGTCTGCTATACGGATTTCTCCGTTCGTCGGGAATTCCTGTGCGGCCGAACGAGGATCCGATAACGATCGCTGACGGTGCACTTGTCTATGTCAAGGTTTTGCCGCAGCCAGCATCTCTTGTTGTCCACGGCATAAACCACAGCATCGCAGTCGCTGTGCTCGACGCATTCCGACAGGCAGTCCTCCAAGTTCTCAGCCACATACGAAGAGACGGCGATCGGCTCTGAAGCAAAGGTGTGGAAGCAATTCAGTGACCCCCACTCTTGCCAAGTACCAAGATCTTGTCGCAAATCATCTTTGGATTTTGCAGTTGCGTTGCTGGTATTCGAAGGTGAAGATATCGTTGAAGCCTTAGGAATGAGGAGGTAAATCAGTACAGCCTGCAACAGAGCACTCACAGCACCTCCCTAGTCCTCGCCTGGTTCGGAGCGATTCTCGGCACTCTGCTCACCGCAGTCGTAGTTGTCGTAGTAGATGCTACGGTTGTCGCAGCTGATGCAGTTGTGGTTGTTGGCAAGGGTTTCGCCCAAACACTGTATCCGCTTGCAGCCACACATTTCGAGAGCTCCAGATTCGTGCGCATCTGGCATGGGGTTGGATCCTGGCTCTCCAGAACGATTACCTCGGTTCACTTCAACCGCACTTAGCAAAGCTCCGGAAATGCTGTGCCCTCAACTGACCGATGCCAAAAGACAGCCTCACAAGCTTGAACACGCTCACATGCACGTTGGCCTTGGCTTCACCGTGCAGGGGTCGGTAGCAGTCGTGTCCTTCCTGAGATCCTGTCGCTTCTTGCAGCGCAAGGAACAGTCCGCTGGAGACATCGACTTGGAGAAAGGCTCTGCTTGCCCGAGAATAGTGTCGCCGCCTCTGTGAAATCTGCAACTGTCTCCCTCCCTCGCATCTCACCTAGTACCTCCATGGTCTGCAGGTCTTGAAGGCTGTCCCGATAGGTTTGCCACCGCAAGCTCGGCTGCACTTTGGGTCTTTGCAGGAGCCACTGCAAGACTGGAGGGTAGAGTTTTGGCTGTCGGCTCCCCGGAAGCAACGACAGAAGCAAAATGCTGAGGCCTCCCTCACGCTGTGCCTCTTGATCGCAGGACAAATACACACCGCACCGCTTGGCAGAAGGACCCAGGACTAGCATCACAATTTAGAGATCTTGGGTTCAACGTCGTTTCAACTCCGAGGAATATACGCAATCGGCAATACCCTTGGGTTCTCGGTCCCAATCAGCGCTTGCGTCTTGATTCAACTTATCATGCGAGATTCAATCGCGAGTCTGTGCCCAGTGTGCTTGAGTCTTGCAATCATTCGTGTTCATGAGTAGCCAGAATGTGCGGTCTGGCAAACCAGAGTATGGGATAGTCTGAGGCATGTATGCATGTATGCATGGCATGCATGGATGCGTGCATGCGTGCATGCGTCCATGCCTGCATCGGTGCAACAGTACCTCAACGTGCCAAGCCAACGACCGTATGTCAGTGCTTGCCTGAAGCGTCCGTCTATGCTTGCATGGTTTGTGCATGTGCACGCCGTGTCCTCCTGCAGCAACATGCGAGCTCATGAACTGGGTCGTCACAGTGCTTGAGTGCTCCCATGGAAGGCCCCCCAGCCTGCTCCAGGTTCACAGCGGGTGTTGCGGACCTCGCCTGTCCAGCCCGGCTGTGGGAAAGCGAAAGCTTGGAGCCAACAGCTCCACCACTCAGGAAACGTCTTCTTCGGATGAAAAGCCACATTGGCTGTACCTTGGGTGTCACATCGGGGGCGTCAGCAGTTGTACGGAACTCTGCTGGGAACAAACACACCGATTAGGCTGAGCGTCCGCAGCTGGCCTGGATTCTGGGAACGCATCCCTTCTCCAGGAGCATGCCAGGGAAGGCCGGCCGGGGTAAAGCCCCCGATCGGAACAAACAACTTTGGAGCCACAGGTCCTGGAGCAGGAATCAGAGGCAACCACAAACCTCTCTGTTTGCACTATGCTTGCGAGTCCAGCTGTAAAGTAGCAACGTAGCTAGCCGGGGTCGGCTTCTTCAATCCAAACCTCAAGACCCCTCAGGTCCTCTTGCTGGATGTTGCCGCATGTTTCCTCAGCTGGAGGCCACGTGAGAATTTCATGGCTTGCGCTTCCAAGTCGACAGAAGTTCAGCAAGAACCAAAGCGGAAGTGCCCCACCCTGATCCATCCCAACACACGCAGTAAGCATGTCTCCTGAGTAAACGGTAACAGGCAGCAATGACAGCAAATTGAAACGGGAAGTTGAAGTAACGTCGGCGGCACTGCATGGATAATCAGAGAAGAAGACCGGTCAAGCAAGACACGTTCGCAAGAAACATAACCTTACTATGCTTACTTGACCATTCCTGAAGGGCAGAGACTGCAAGACAGGATGCAAAGGAACCTGCGAAAAGGTAACGAAACTAGAGTTTTGACATGCAAGTCTCCCACTGGACATTCTCCACAGCTGCTTTAGACACCACTTCGATGGGGCCATGTAATCCCTCGTTGCAGTTGACCAGAAATGTTGGTGCAGCGTTCTTGGGCAGAAAGCTTTCGAGTCGGGCCGGGAGGAAGACGGTGTCAGGATCCAGCTTCACCTGGGTTCTTGTTAAGGGATTTAATTTAAGTTACTATAATAAGGGAACCATATTATTTACTATAGATCCCCAGTATGGCAACTTAAATTAAAGCCCCTTAACAAGAACCCAGTCACGGTCCAGGCATGGGCTTTGAATTCTGGGAGCTCCAGCACCTTCTTCCAGATGGCAGCGAAGACTGGTGTGTTGAGGGCAGTATTCCATTGCCCGCCACTTGGGACCTGCGTCTGAAGGCCTTCAATCACATGGGAACAAGGCGGTATCTTCGTGGATGCGAAAACTGCCCAATCTGGGCATTCGAAGAGTCCTGAAGTTTGGCGACACCCTATGCATAGAACGTCAAGTCCCCTAATGCTGGCAAACGAAAACTGTTGGAAAAGCTTGAGGTCCTTTTTGCTTGCTCTTCTGCGACAGAAGGAGTCCTTGTTCCCTGGCAGGTACTCCCATGACCGTGAAGCAGAATAGATCCGGCACGGGTAAAACTGCAGCTTTCTCGTCCATCCGGACGGCCGTCGCCCGTAGCTGCTGTAGCTGTCTGCGCGAAGCCACTGAGCTTAAACCGATGGCGCAACATATTGTGGCGAGAGAAATGCAGAGCCAGCCAATGTGGCTCCAACTCCTCTGCAACACCTGCGCATGCACACATGAAGTCACTGCAGCAGAGCCTAAGGGCCTAAGCCGAGGGGGCAGGCCGGAGCAAAACGCTTCGGCGCCTTGACGAGCGTCGGACGCGTGGACTGGTTGAGGGAGCCCTCATCTACTTCCAAGGTCCGCGAGCTCACGAGGGGAGCCTCCTCCAAAGAAGGCATCTAGGCACCCGGTAACGGATCGAAGCCATTCATGTCAGGCTTTGATTTTGAGCAAAATCCCGCCGGAGCCATATGACAGCTTCACGGGGTCTAGAACAATGCGGCAGATGTACTAAAACAAAACGAGCACTCATGCGCTGCAAAGGGCCTCCCGGGACCAAGTCCACACGCGAGGGCCACGGCAAACGAAAGGCCGGATGCCTCAGACATCTTGCCGGGCTACTGCCCCAGCTGCGACTGTCTACAGTCTAAGGACCTCCCTGCTTCTCCCGGAGGCGGGTACTGTAACCCATCATGCTCAGACTTGACGGCCTTCCTGACCCCTGGGCAAGTATGGAAAGCGGGTTGCGAAAGCCTCCAAAGCAAGACATAGAACGAGTCTTTCGGCATCTGTCTTTCGGTATCTGCGAAGAACACCTGAGTCGAGCTCTCCTTGCCACTAAGCTGGTGACCATTCCGAAGCAGATGGCATAAATGGCAGGCGGTGCCTTTCCTGCATTTTGGCAGCAGTGACCAGCATGATGTGTAAGATGTCACGCATCCCGGTCAGGTGGTGCTGTGAAAAGAGGAGAGACCGTCAAAGATGTGGCTCGCAGAGCAGGAGAGACGGCCTGGTCCGCCAAATTGCACGGGACGTTTGCGACCTCCCCAGGACCAGCCTCTCCGGTGCGAAGGCTTGGCTTGGTCGGCTTGCTGAGGCTCACTGAGGTGCCGTCCCCACAGCTCCCACCTCGGAAGGGAAAGCAACGGTGCTGGTTCGGCTCTGCCCGTCCAGCGCCGCGCCATTCCGGTCTCCTCTTCTCAACGGGGCCCACCAGCACCTGGGACACATGGCAAGAGGGAGAGGGCCGCTGTGCTCCGCTTCTGGGCCGCCGGCACTTCCCTGACTTTGGGGCGGAGGGGGCGGGCGATCTTCGGGAGGCAGAGCCTCGGCAGCCACAGAGCTGGAGCTGAGCAGAGGCGGCAACAAATCTGGTCCGGGCCAGCATGAAGGTGGAATAGTCTGGCCACGTGCCGGGCAGCCTGTCCATGACGAAGGCCGACTAAGAGAGCCCCAGAGGCATGTCAAGAAAAATAAGCGCACTCATCGTCGCAGCCTTTCTTCAACAAGGCCCACAAACCGTGACAAAGACGGAAAGTCGCACAACCTTGAGATAGCTATAGTTGGAAAGGCACAGACGGTGGAAAACACTGTGCAAGGCCACCGCAAGCACGTGAAAAACTCCGACAGGAACAGACACTGAGGCGCGATCAAGCGCTGAAGACCTTTGCTCAGTCAAGTCCCCGACACCCAGCGGACGGGTGTTGCACACCAAAGTCTCAGCAGGTGTAGGTGCGAGGCAGGATCCCGGATCACACGGAATGCTGAAAAGGACCACGAGATGCCTGAGAGCTCGCGTGAGCTAACACAGCACTAGAGTCCACACGGCTACCGATGACATCAACGAAGCTCGTTGCTTTTGGGCTCTGCCCTGCGCCAGATCTGTAATCGCGTTCGCGCTAAGTCGGTGATCTATGCGGCGAGCAAGGCTATGCCTCGTCGCCGTCATCTAAAAGGAACTCGTCAAGCCCTCTGTTGCACTGGGCTGTCTTATGTTTTGATTCGTGCAAAACAGCACTTGGCGATGGCCTCTGCGTTCAGGAAGGATGGAAGAGAGAACGAATTGGCCACTTCGATTTTCTCAAGCTCCGCCTCAATCTCCGAGTCGCAGCGGGACCAGCGCCACTCTGCCGCCAGCCACCATATCTCAGCCTCGAATCCCCTCATTCGGGCGACATTCACGAAGGACGCACGGCGGTGATATCGATTGTAAAAGTCATAGTCCATCATGTCGAGATAGCCGCCGTACTCTGTCCAGGTCATGGCCATCCCATCGGCAGGCGGGAGTATGTATCGACGAACCTCACCATTCTGCCATCTGTCCTCCTTGAAAGGCGGCATGCGATGTCCCTTGGAAGCAGCTATCCGTCGAGAAAGGAAGAAAAGGATACATCCGTGTGCAGCCACGCCGATGACAGACCCTGGCAACTGCATCAGGTAGTTCCACACGAATTCAGCACGTCTAATGAGCGACTGTGCTGTGTCCAGCAATCGAAACGGATGTGTTGCTTCACTGGCTGCGAATTCTACTTCCCATGTAGGCCAATCTCGTTGGACTTCGTCTTTGTGTCGCGACTCGTTCCAAACGTCATCACATTGGATTTCGACCATTTGGTCTAATGCGATTATAGGGGCATTCTCTGCTTTCAGTGGCAGCATCGCCAGTTCGGCGGTTTGTAAGGCACGCTGCAGTGTGGAGCTCACAATCGCGTCAAATTTCCCTTCGCCACGCTCGCTCAAAGCCTGGGTGTGGGTTCGGAAAGTGTAATCCAGCAACCGTCGAGATTGAACCCAAGTTGAGATTAAACGAAACAAATCACAACCACAAGAGTAGCTCATACGTACTGCATGCATCAAGCCGCTGGGCCCACTAGCGGCTATAGGTATAAGACAGTTCAACCGGATTCATGCCAGCAGAGAGGCGCCAAACTCGGGATCATAAAATGCATGGATGCTTTGACTGGGCTGGGAGGTGGAGTCGATGCGTGCATAAGTCATGAATCTTCATGATGCACCACATGCGGTCTCTAAGACAGGCTTGCCAGGTACTGGACCCACCCGCCCCGCCCCGCCCCGCGCCCTTCAGGCTCGGAAAACAAAGCGTTCTCGACACTGTACCTGAACTTCTCATCGGAGGACGTACTCGCCCGGGGCATCTTGTCTTGAGCGAATGCAGACCGAACGAGGAAGGTACGAAACACGAACGATCTACAAAGCCCTTCCAGAGCGAGGGATGATTCAATCTAGATATAGAAAGGCATTTTTTGATGCATGAAGGACAGGAAGTCCGTTCTCAGACGCCATCATGCGCCATCCACCAGTGACTTTAGACGGCAAAGTTCCATGCAATTCAAGCGCAAGTCCTTGACTTACCGAATCATGGCTTCAGCCAGGCATCCTTTTCAAGCAGATCTCTGGCAGCCAATGCCTGAGAGGTGCCCTTGTCTGTGAGGGGAGGGTCCGCCAAGGAGGGGTCCCTGCGCCGCTCGTAGCTGCCGGCACCTCGGTCGACCAAGTTGTGAAGCGCTTCTCCATGCCTCAGCAGGTACACGGTCTTCATCTGTACAAGGGAGACCGACCGGGCACTGTCGTCGGTCTTCGAGCCCGACACTTCGGAGACATCCGGAGACATTGTAGCCAAGCTCTGCAGTCAACAGCCGGGTTCGGAACGCGTAAGCTCGTGCATCGAGGCGGCTGAACCCATGCCTGGAGGCTCATGCTCAACCCGGATCCGATGGAGAAGCCAGAGTAAAGTCCTGTCTTCACGATCACTGCCAGCTTGCTTGTCACCTCCTGGCGGCAGAGGACAACTTGCTCGGGAAAAGCACGTGCGCTCGCATGCTCGAAGTCCTTTTCCGAAGCTTTGGTCGCCGAGTCGTTCTGACAGGGCCTGGCTGATTGTGGGTCGATCCGCTGCAGCGGTCTAGTGGCAAAGTGCTGTTGCCTCCAACGCTGTTCGCAGCTCCAGGATCATCAAACTGCTCTGGATCTGGGCGCCCGCGGGGAGACCGCGTGACGCCATGGCCTGCAAAGCAGTCCGTGCGACACCTCTGCGGACGCATCGTGCTGGAGCTCTGGCCTCCTGGAGCCGCTGCTTCTGCCGCCGGCGCTCCGTCAAGGCCGTGACCTCGGCGCTCTGCGCGGCTCTTTCCTGGAGGCTTTCGGCGGGAGCTCGTCGGCCGCTGAGGTCAGGGCAGTGCCAAAGCCAGGCGGTGCGGAGGAGAGCAGGGTCGGTCGTGTGTGCGTTTCCCAGATCTGGGACAAAGGGGTTCTTTCAACATCTGGCCTCTCCAATCCGGGTGAACTGTAAGGAAGTGTAAGGCTTGCACACTTGCATCTTGATAAAGCAGTGCCGCGATCAGGATCTCAATTCGATCTGAAGGAGGGGTGGCTCGACTCTTGGTCGTGTTCGAGCTTCGACACTCTCGCAGGCCTAGAAGGTGCAAGAAAGCTTCATCATCTGCAGCGAGGGCTGCCCCATATCCCTGGGGATCCACCTTTGCCTCAGCAGGCTCAATGTTTGCAACTGAAGGCTCTGCATGGCAGTTCGACATGGGCCGTGGCTAAGAGCTGCCTCAGGTCCTCCATAGAAGAAGGTCAACATTCAGCTGTACAGATTCAACTGCCGATGGCAAGCCGTCCTTGCGAGCGACCACGCCGTGGGTTGCTGATAAAGCAGCCGGAAGTTGCCTCTCGCACCGTCACAAGGCTGGACAGCAGTCTCATAGGAAGGGCTCGGAGCAGCATCCAAAACCAATCCACGAGAGATGTTTGACGATGGACAGAGTCTGAGAAAGGAAAATAGTGTGCTGGTAACAGAGTCGGGGACTCCACTTGTTTAGCGACTTCGCTCTTGTCACGGCCTTCGGAAGAAGGCTCACTCGTAGACTTAGGAACCCCTGCTTGACAAAACTGGACATCATTGACACATTCGACAAGAACAAGTGGGAAGATACGAGATTCGGGGCTTCGGAACAGGCGCACCCCAGCGCAGCGATGGTGGGATAGCTGGACCCTTCCTGCTCAAGTCCAGGCAATGTCCGAGTATTCCACAACAGGGGTCCACGTATCTTAGATGCTGGCGAATTTCAGAGGAAGGTGCGGCCGCCACTTCGACAGGAACCGCAACTCCGCATGAACCTGAGCTGCGTCCACCGTGGCCCCTTCTGCCCTTCCCGAGGCGCTGAGCGGACTGCCGGATCCAGGACTGTCTGCTTCTCACCTCGAGCTTGCAGATGTACCTCACAGAGCTCTGAGGCTCACTGAGGCTCTCCGATCTCTCCTCAGAGGCTTCGGCCACCCTGATGGGAGCACCCCCACCTCACGCGACACATACACGTAACGTCATGCTGCGCTTCAAAAGGCGCTTGCTGTGACCCGAGTGCCTTCTGGTACCTCCGCGGCAGGCATCGCGCCGCCAACGAAGCTCTATGCAGAATACATCTGCCGATCTGCTCTAATGCATGCAGAAGGCTACTAGCTTACTGTCACACTGTCTATGTCAAACCAGTAAGCGCGACAATCTGCGACTGCTCGTTCCAGATAAAAGCGTGGGGGCGGTATGTCAAAATGAAATCTCTGCTGGGCTGTGGCTCTCAGCAAACCCTATGCCCGTCTTCTCAGGTCTATCCATCGCCTTAACGAGATACGAAGCTCCACCAACTACCTTTTCGAAGTCGAGAGCGCGCAACTGTCCGAAGTCACAGCCTGCTCGCGCGCTGGGGCTTAAACCCCAAGCCTTTAGAAATGATTTCAAGCTGCACTTCGTTCGCGCCGCCATAAACTCCTCAGCGCACGCAGCTTCTGCTTCACCCTGGCCACACTGCTGCAAGTGTTCTGCAAGGACCTAGGCGCGGGCGTGTGACTCTTTGGTCCACCATGATCTTGCCAATTGGCGAATTTTTCAAATAGCCATATCCTCACATCGACGTAGCATCAAGACTATCACAATCACAGCGCAGAGGACCTATGCCACTCTAAAACCACCGGAGCTCCTCCGAAGAGTTGCTGGCACCGATCGGCCACACGAAAGCTAAGGTCTGTAGCAAAGAACCTCGGTGCGATGCTGCACAGCCAGAATGCAACGGCAAGGAAGGCACGGAGTGACGGAGTCCGGAGAATGTCTGCCGAAAGACTTAGCCATGGAGGCCGCCTCCGCAGACAGCTGCTTGTGGCAGGCATCCGCAATGCATCGGTCCACAAAAGTAGTGCCGACTTGCACTTCGGTCCGAATCTTGGCCAGCTCTTGCTGCACACCTTGAAGAGTCCCCAGATTCGCACCGAAGGCTGCGCGGCCATGCACGTAGTTCACCGCCAAAGCCAAGGCCCTCCGTGCCGCGGCCATGCTCGCCACCGCGATGGAAAGACGTTCTCGAGGCAAGTGATGCATCATGTACTGAAAACCCTTCCCCTCTTCGCCTACCAGGTTTTCCCGGGGTACATGTACATCTTCCAAAGTGATGAGGCAGGTGTCACTGGCATGCTTCCCCAGTTTGCCGAAGCGCTTGGCGCAGCTCACACCCGGCATCTCCGACTCAATGACAAGCATGGAAATTCCCTTGGCCCCTTTGGTCGGATCCGTGACACATGCTACAACGGTCAGTTCCGCCACAGCACCACTGGAGATCCACATCTTCCTTCCATTCACAGTCCATCCTCCGTTGGGCGAAGGCGTCGCGCGACAGGAAAGCTGGCCCAAGTCACTGCCAACCTCTGGCTCGGACATCGCCACTGCAAGTACCTAAAACTTCAGCACAACAGGAAAGCACACCCGCACACATGCGCAGGATGCCAAATCTTGCCAAGGCGCAGCTCCACGTCTGAGCTTCGGTAGCCAGCGAGCTCGCTGCTCGTCCGTACAGCTCTCTGTAAAGTAGGACAAGACCATATCATTGCCAAGGTTTACGAAGAGGCCTCCACACCCAAGATCCTCTACTTCCTCGACCACGACACAGTTGTGTTTCCAGTCAAGCCCACGACCCCCGCATGCCGAAGGGATGCCCAGCGTAAGGTAAAAGCCCTCTTGGGCCATCTTGGAATAAACTTCTCTGTCAACAACACCTTTTGCTTCAAACTTGGCATACTCAGGCTGCACGTATTTCTGCAGGAAAGTCCTGGCTTCAAGCTGTGTTTCTAAGGCATTCGCAAGGCATGCCAATAGCGGCTTGAGCGGGTGAGTCCTGAATGAAGCTCGGTATGCTTCGTGCTCATCGCCATACACGTTGCGCTTCAGTGCCAGGATTTTGCTGCTGTCGAAATGGACCTGAGCGACATGCAGATGCCACCAAAGCTGGACAGTGTTTTGAGTCTTGGAGCAGCGGCACGTAGATGGCTCTTGGGCAGGCACCGGCACGTTGGCTGGCTTCTTCGGGGGCAGTGCGGAAGACCCTTCAAGGCATCCCACGAAGGAGTTGGGGGCAAACGCAAGAATGTAGTCCTCCGGGACTCCGGGCAGGTGCACACTCTACAAGCCCTTTTGCAATCAGCCTCGTGCAGCTGCTCTTCTTTACTTAACGAGATCTGTCCCAGAAGCCGTCCTCACTGTGAACCTCCAGGAACTCTTTCGTGCAGTCCTTGCCTCCATGCAGCAGAATGATGTTTCTGCCTGCAGGATGCTCATCGACGAATCCAGTCACATCCTCGGGGTGGCCATGCAACTTTAGCAAGCGAATCATGCAATCCACACCACCAGTGCTCTCGTCTAGTGTGGTTTCAGGTTGGCAAAGCTTGCTCACGAGTGCTACAAAAACCGGGAACCAATCTGTAGAAAAACGATTGGAACGCTAGACAAGCCAGCAGACAACGTGTTCCTTTAACAATCGTAGGATCATAGACTCGATCGTTCACGATGACCCAGCAGTCACCGGCCGTGCAATGCTTGGCCACTTCAGCTCGAGTCAACCGGGCTGAGCCCAAGGATTCCCGCTTCGGCTTACCATCGCCGAGGAAACTTGACTGTGCCATCAGAACAACCCAAGAAGTCCACTGTAGGCACGTTCAAGCGGGGTTGTGCTTGCTGTGATTTCTAGTGATCTCTTGTCGAATGCATTCCAATCGTGTCAAGTGCTCTATGACGGATCTGAGAGCAATCAAAATCTCCGAACATCCGAAAATGTCTTCGTGACACGCCGCACGGGATTCAGCTGCAGACAGCCTCACGCAGTCCACTGTTTTTTCACCGCGACAGCGTCGGCCCGCATCACTTCCGAACTTGCTCGGCCTGGCAGGACGTCCGAGTGCGCAAGCGTCGCAAGGCAATGACGGGAAAGGGCCCTCATGTGCCTTTTTGCGCTCTCGTGCGTCAAGCACAACTACGCATCAATTTTGTTGCCTTGGCGGGGTTCTTGCGCTGTGTTCGATTCGATTCTGCACAAGTTCAGATTGTGCCAACGAAGGCTTTTCCCCCTCGGTGCCAGTTCAACTTACAGCTGGTCCATGCCCAAGTGTCGACGAAGCAAACCTATCAGAACAACGTCCCTTCCTCACCTCAGCCGTGCAATGGAAGTCAGGCTCCGCCGCTCCACCGTGGCACAGAAGCTGTTGATTCCCGGATAAATTCCAAGTCGGCATAGTATCTTCGACACGTTGAAATGTTTGTACAACTGATGTGACAGCGAATGGAGGCTGGAATCACATCAGGGGCAAGAACCGTGGTACGTTTGAATCAAGCGGGGTCTGTGGTGCAGTCTCACTCACCAGGCTTTGCCAGCGGCCCGCTGTTTGATTCAAAACATGTAGCATGCAGTATGCAAATGCAAACATTCCAAACATTCGTAACACCTGCTATTTCTATTCTTGACAGTGTACATGCTCGTCACAGAATCTCGCCCACAGGAAAGAGACGCAGCACATGCTGGCCGATGAAAAAAATTCCACCTGGCAGAAGTGGCTCTTCTTCTCACCTTCATGACTTCCCGCGTTTTGGCCTCAAGACTCACACCATAGGTTTCGCAACCAGTTCAAGAAAGGTTGAGAAGGCAAGATCATTGAAGCCAACTTTCGCACGGGCACGGCCCTCATTGCAGGGTCGCCGCAGGCTCTACAGCTCACGAACTCCGCATAAGATTTGGAGCTGCCACTGAGGCGGCCCTGCATCCAGGCTCCTACTGCCCATGTTCACAGCATAGCTGTTGAAGCCAAAGTCCCCCGAAGATGTCTCCCCGAAATCAAGTCCTAGGTGAAGTGGTGCCTCTCAGAGCGCTCGATTCAAGGGACCTGCTCCAAGAGAGGGCGTGATCACAGAGGAGGCCCTCGCAGTACAGAGCAGGCGGGGCCTCCTAACCCGGGGCTCAGGGTCAGGCCGCCCAGTTCAAGGGTTTTTACAAAAACTTGAACCCGTCTCGCAGCCGCCAACTTCCCAGTCCCAGCCCTGTGAAGTGAAGATTCAAGAATCTCTTCAGAGAGCACCGGACTTGGACCGGGAAGTTGGCACTGTCAAGAAAACACCCCGAAATCGTCTCACCAAGAGATGAAGCAGCTTGCTTGGCATTGGATCATCTTCATCCAGGTATGCTGCATACAGTGTGCGATGCAGAGTAATCCTTCAAAAACCTTATCATGTTTCGATCTCGGCCGGGGCTCGCTGAGGAACCCATTGAATTTCACGGTCTCCGGCTGCATGCTTTAGCTTCGTCAGACAGCCAAGGTCACTTCACCCACTGGGCAGCCTGTGCAGGCTGAAGCTAAATTTTACTGCTTCAATGAAACGAAAACCCCAGACGTGTCCGCAAGCACAACATTTAAGCTTGCCACATTAGGCAGCCGAGATCTATACGAGGTCGGAGCGTCGGTCCAAGTTTTGAATGGAACGGCCTGCAAAGACGACAACACTCTCTCACCTGACCATGATGGCTCTGCAGTGTCTGTTGCAGACGAGCGTCCGCGGAGAAGGCAGCCGGAACTTAGCAGCAGGCAGAGTCTTGCAGAGACTCCAGTCCAAGTATCCAGCACAATAACACCAAGACTTCCCTTCTCGGCATCAGACCTGCCAAGTTTTGGCAGTTCGGAAAAGGCGCCTAAATACCTTGGGGCCATTCGCCACGGAGTCACAGAGCAACGCTCCCATCAAAGGCACGGGCCGAGCAGCGACGCCGCTCTAACCTCGGGCAGAAGCTCTCGTGGACGCCGTGATTGTTTAATGGTCACCGTAGCTCGGGGCCCCGCCGCAACCAAGTATATACATGGAAAAATGGCAATCCCTCGGACGTTCGGAAGCAATCAAGCGGATATCGCTCCAAGGAGATTGGGCTCCAGCGGCTCAGACGAAGATCAGTTCACAGAAGATTCTGCCACAGCCTGGCACAACATCTCCAACCAACAAATCTATCCGTTGCACTGCGGCGTTGGGCCACGGGCATGCTGCTCCACAGCAGCAGCTTTGGCTGCAGCCACCTCATCCTGCCGACAGAAGGGGTTACTGGACACAAGAAGGAACATAGAGGGAGAGACAGAGAGAGAGAG